TAACATCCAATATTTAGATGATTATTGTTGATCAAAATAAAAGGGTAATGAAACTATGGTGTATCAAATTAAGATCTTCAGGGAAAATAAAGTGGTATAATTTGAGTCAGCAGTACTTTCCTGCAGTGAAGTTGTATTAAACATAAGAGGACTTCCATCAGAGGCAATGTGTGTTATATGAAGAACAACAAATATTTGAATTCTGAAACCACTAATTAGATTGTTTCAGAATAGATTAACAAAACCTAAGCATATTGTTGCATTTGTCAATCAGGTAACTTTGATATTCAGGATATTAATTTAATATAGTATCCATAGATCTAATTTGTTTCTGGATCAGCCATACTAGTTCTCAAATATTACTACTTTAATAAGTTGGTGTTAGTAGGATCAATGCTAAATCTGAATCACCAGTAAACAGAATCCAAATACCTTTAAGAAGTCCAAGTTAAGCAAGGAAGCGGACATTAGATATTTGAACTACAAAATGAATAGCGGCAGATTATAATTAATCTTGGATCAGAAATGCCATTTTCCAAATTTCAAAAGTGGAGTCACCAAGAATGAATGCTGAATAGTGTCATCTTCAATAAGGATGAATATGAACTTGATTGATTACGATGTTGGCGGGAGTATCGAGTCTCAAAGAATTAACAACGCAAGCATCAGATGCTTAGTCGATTTGTAGATAGGACAAGTAATTGGCACCGAAAAACAAAACTTATGGTTATAAATTTTAATTCATTAATAGGGCACAAGGAGATCTAGAGTTTCATTTTCTGTAAAACTTTACAAATATACTTTTTACCAAGTCAATATTTCTTTAATTGAAACGTTAAGCATACTATTGACATAATTTTGGTGTTGTCCAAAATGGTGTCACAATTAGTTTAGCTTTTGAGTTGACAACCTAAGATGCACACACCTATGATTTATCAAATATTTAGACATTATCAACAAGTCAATTTATCTAAGTAATGAAAGTGATCTCAATAAAACAGAATAAGTCTAACCAAGTAATTAGAATTTTTCGCAATGTTATGATATAGCCTTGAAAATAATAATAATTATTTAAATTCAAGATCAAAATGCTTCAGCACAGCCGCAAGTGTAAAACATATAAAGGGGTCCAATAAAGGAAAAAAATTAAAATAGCATGGTTGCTTATAAAGGTTGAGGGATCAAACTCACATAAAGCTGTTCATTTTTACAGAAGTGTTGAAAAGATTTATACCTAGGAAAATATAGTAACTAAAAGAGTTGGATTGTTGGGCAGAGTGTGAACTTATAATTTTATACTAACCATAATAATATATTATAAACGTTCTACTAAACTTCTAAGTGCATATTCTCTGTACAAGTTAATTTTCAGTTTTAACCAAGCAAAATTCAAAGGTTAATTTACTCAATCATTACACTATAGATGGCAGCTCCACAAAAAGAGTTTACTCCACTTATAGAGTCATGAGATTCAAAAACAAGAAGATGAAAGTGAAATAAATGGTTTATCATTTGACAGGGCAAGTATCACAATTAGGTTGTTTATGAATTGCAACAAGTTATTTCAATTTAAGTAACAGAATTCTTAAATGTAGTAAAAAGTCTAATTTAGTTAAATTATATTCTCTTAATTGATGATTTAAACCAATTGTTTTATGATGTGTTAAGAAAATTATCTATTAATTTACTTTATTCTAGTTTGCATAAAGTGCATATCTACAAAGCCGTTCTGGTATTTAGCAACAAGTACGCTGATAAAATAATTATATTATGTGAACTCAAGAGTAAAGCTTCGACTTCTAAACTATCCTTATATTACTTTAAAGTTTAGTTTGAGAATATATCTATACAATTTTTATCATAGAATCAAAAGTCAACAAGATTCATAATAATTAGCTATCTTTAAACTCTAGTTTATATGAAAAGCATTTTTATTGATTAAATTAAAATATTGCTTATTGACTCCATGGACTGACCTGATAGGCTGTCTTAAATATATTCTTCTAAAAATTTGATGGAGATTTCAAATCTGTGCTTTTTGGCATTCTTTAATCCACTATTTAGGCTAATTTTTTTAACAGTTATTATGTTGACTGAATCTTTTGGTTTTGAACTTGAAGGTGACTTGGTGATTATCTAAAATCAACATTTCCTAGTGTAAATTCTCTGTTTAAAAAAAAACTGTAAATTGTAACATTCTATTATGTGATATTATTACAGCACCTAATTATCATTTTTCATCCTATTACAGTTAATTCGATCAGATAGATATTAAAACAAATGGAAGACTTATTTAAATTACTAAAAGTCTTAAAATCTCCCCAATTATTATTATAACTAGAATCTGCCAAAAGTGGATTTTTCTAACAACTCCAAACTTATTACTGTAGTCTTAGAGAGACAGTAATATACCTTTCTTAAATATATTAGG